TTCTCATCGCTGTTGCTGTTGTTGTTGTTGTTGTCGTTGTTGCTGCTGCTGTTATTTGTTTGTTTGTTTTGGCAGTCACAAGTTAGTTGCAAGATGCTTGTATCTGGCTTTATGCCAAATCCACATATACATATGTATTTCTGTATATTTATTTATATATAGATTTATGTGTTTATGTATATATCTCTATGTATCTGGTGAGTGATAAAACGTGCTAGAGAAAGCGCATGTACATAGATAAATACACACAGACATACATACATAGAGAAGTCGATGTACATATATGCATGCAAGCGCGCATACACAGTGAAACGCCATTTTGAAGCGCTGTCTCTGTCGCAGTCGCAGTCACTGGCGACAGCGCTGCCACGGCTGTTGCTATCAGCGCACATCAATGGACCAACGACAGTGGCGACATTTTGGAGCACATTACGTTGGTCAAAGTGTGAGAGAGCGGTGCGGCATAGATGCGCGAACGGGATGGCCATAGTGAAGAGATAAGAGAGGAAGCGAGCGAGGGAGATAGATAGCGAACGAGACAGAGAACGAGAGCGACAGAGAGAGAGAGAGAGAGAGAGCGCACTGGCAAAATGAGCAGCGACAGCGACAGCAACGATGGCAGAGCGTCGGCGTTTGCGGCGACACAGAGATAGAGAGATATGATAACGGCGGCGACAGCAGCAGCAGCAGCGGCAGCGGTAGTGGCAGCGACAGCGACAGAGGGCAGAGCAACGGCTACTGTCTTTGCCACGCCTACATATATGCGCAGCAGCAGTGATTGTCGTTGCCGTCGGTAAATACAGAAGAAATAGCGGTGCAGGCTTGATTAACTTGCGGCTAACCTAACCTCAATCAAGGACTCGTTCCGGTCGGCCGCAGGCATTGTCCTTGGCGAGGCCAAAGCTGGCGTCGTCGCTGCGCTGCCACTGCAACAGTTTGCCTCCACGTTTGGCCTCTTAACACACTTCATTAATCAAAAAACATGCCACTGGGGCCAAAAGCAAACTTGGCACAACAAATTCGAATTCGCCGCGCCATGGCGAATTCAATACGAAGGCACACGCGCTCTCTTGTCCAAAGCTCCACCTACCGAAGCAAAGCGCAGACGCACAAAGCAAACACGCAACGCACAGCCAGCGCATATGAGAGAGCGAGAGAGCTACAGAGAGAGCAGCAGAGCAGCTCGTGCATTAAATGGAAGCTACGGCTGCTAGCAGCGCTGCCGTCAGTCGATGACGATGACAAACGAATGACAGACACTCTCCTCGCTGTTACTTGTTGTTGCCTCTGTTTTGGGAGAGAGATAATGGGCAAGAGATAAGAGACGTCAGGTAGCGATGGCGATGGTTACAATTGTTGTTGTTGTTGTTGTTGCTGTTACACAAATGCCCGCCAGTCAGAAACGTTCGTTTTTCGTTTTTGTGCGCGTGTGTGAGTGCCGATGAGAGAATATACGTCCACACGCTTCTGTGTGTATGTGTGTGTGTGTTTATATTTCTGTGCAATGGGCAGATGTTAGCTGTGCTGTGAGCTTTGCTGTGCTGCAATTTACGATTACCTCATACTGTAAATTGCATCTCTGGCCATACACAAACACATGCATACACACAAACAGGTATACTGTGTGCTTATATACATATACATATATTTTGATAATTAAATGTGCGCTAAATTATTTCATTTTACCAATGCAATGCCCCAGTCTCCAGTCACCCCCGCCGAGCTGCTCACACCTTGAGGCTGTCTGCTGTCCCGTCAGAGAAATTAATGAGAATTTTCTTATGGCTCGCAAATTGTAATGAAAGAGGTCTTCACATGTATACACATGTATATGTATCACATGTATTACTGTATATACATGTGTGTGTGTGTGTTTAACTCTTAATTAAGCCATCGTATTTGAGGTCAATAAGTTGCGGCTGCAGCTTGTGCTGAAGTTGTG